CACACACACACACACACACACACACACACACACACACACACACACACCCTTATCCATGCCCCTTGGACCCTGCTCTCAACCATCAGTCTCCTTAATTCCCTTCCCCTCAGTTCTCCTCCATCTCCCCTCTTTCCCTCTCTCTCTTGTTCTTCTCCGTCTTTCTCTCTTGCATCTCCCCCATTTCTAATCTTTTCTGACTCCAGGCTTTTTTCTCTTTTTGTTCTTTCCTTTTTCATTATAAACGATGTATATTGCTCGAGAGTACAGGTGTGATGGATTTTCAGAAACGATATGATAGCTAGTTACGGAGGCAAATCGATCGGGACGCCCCTGAAAATGGTACATGTGCCTTGCGCTGTTTAGCCTGCGATATGAGCAACATAAATAGTCCGCCAATAGGTCACACTCTGCTGTTTGGCTTTTGTTTCTTTGCTGAAGGGATGTAATGAATTTCTGAGTATTGAGATAAACTGGATTAACTGATGAGGTGTGTATCTGTGTGGTTAGAGAGAGGGGAGTAGTTCATTTTTATTGTCTCATAGAGCATGTCAGGCGACTGCCATTTGGAGCACTTCCAAGGCTTGGATGGACATGAAACTCTAAAAATCTAAGTTTGCAGTTCACAACTTTCAACGTTCGACACCATTCGAATTTGTGTTCTAGTTTCCTCTTCTCACGCTTAATAAAAAAGGCGGTCGAAATGAAACTCTTCCTACAAAACTGCATGAGAAAATACAGAGATGAGGGATAACAACACACATCATCAACCACAACTTCCCCAGTTTGAGTCTGGCTGAGGACCTTTATTACCTGACAAAAACAATAATAGTTTAAAAAAAGTTCACTTTTGGTTGAATTCGGCAGCTGTAGGTTTGTGTTTCTTTACAACTTGTAACAACGGGGTATTTTGAATTGTGTGTTTTGTGCATCTGACTCCTCCATGGCAACGTCAGCCGAGGTTCATGGGCGTCACAGTATTTAAAGCCATCTGCTCGCCGGGCAGAAACAAACAAAAAAACAACATAATTTCTCTGAAATGAAATTGAAATAATTTTAGGTTTTCAGAAACAAAGTGTCTTACTGGAAAGCGAAATTTGAAACATTGTTTCCAGATGTCACGCAGAATGTTTTAATTTTAAATGAAAAACACAGTGCAACTAATTCATGAATGCTGCGGTAACAGATACTTTCCCGCATCTTGATTTTTGATTCCTGAATGATGTATTTCACCAGGATACACATGTAGCTCTTGCTTCACAAACATTGGGGGAAACGTGACATGACAATCAGAGAGAAGAAAACTAGTCTTTGTACATAATGACAAAGTCAATACTCATTTTGTGTCAGCTGTTTAAAAGTATAGGTAAGTAAATGTCACGCCTCAGAGATGCATGCTGCTCCGGTAAAGGTAGAGCTAACACTTAAAAGATAGCAACACAGCTAAACACACTCGGAGGCACTGACACACTTGGCTGGAACAACAGTGGATCATCCCCGGCAGTCTTATAGTGCCGTTAGGTAATCAAGGAGACCCCTGGGTTTCTACGTTGAGGAACCATTGAGGATAAAAATGGGAATCTATACGAGAGGAGAAACTTCTTCAAACAGCATCTCCTTCCACTTTGCAATTCTACGTGTGTGCATATGA